GACAGACAGACAGACAGACAGAAAAGTACAAGTATGAAGGTGCACACGTACCTGTGCACACGCTTAGGGAAAGTAGGGACTAGAATAGGGTCTGGGGCAGGGTGTAAGCTGCACTAGCTGTGATCAGTTTCCTCTTCAGACTCCGATTTGCATGTGGCCTAAACTGCTTAAGCTTGCTTCGAACCCTTTCACCCTAAACCCCTGAACCCTCAACCGCACCCAGCTAGACCCTAAACCATCAGACGAAGAACAAACAGAACCTTTGGGGCTTGCTCCAAATCTCGGCCCCTTTGAAACCCTGTTTTGCATCGGTGGTCAGTGCTAGGTAATCTGCATGAACTCACAAAAGCTGACAATCCTTCAACGCACCCCTTAGGGTTTTAGGGTCCTTTATATTTTATTCATAATAAGGACCCCCCCCCAAAAGAAAAAAAATAAAAAAAAAATATATATATATATATGGGTAATTATTGAAGCCCCTATATTAAACCCTGGTTTCGCAGCCAGAGTTTGGCAATTAATGGGGGCCTCCCTGCCACTGCGCTTTGCCTGGCTGAAGAAGGGTAGCCTAAGGGGTACCTTTATGGGTTTAGGGTTTAGGGTTTTGGGGTTTAGGGTTTAGGGTAGTATCCTGAGGGGTACCTTCATGGGTTTAGGGTTTAGGGTTTTGGGTTTAGGGTAGTATCCTAAGGGGTACCTTTATGGGTTTAGGGTTTTGGGTTTAGGGTAGTATCCTAAGGGCTACCTTTATGGGCTTAGGGTGTAGGGTTTTGGGTTTAGGGTAGTATCCTAAGGGGTACCTTTATGGGTTTAGGGTTTAGGGTTTTGGGTTTAGGGTAGTATCCTAAAAAATACCTTTATGGGCTTAGGGTGTAGGGTTTTGGGTTTAGGGTAGTATCCTAAGGGGTACCTTTATTGGTTTAGGGTTTAGGGTTTTGGGTTTAGGGTAGTATCCTAAGGGGTACCTTTATGGGTTTAGGGTTCAGGGTTTAGGGTTTGGGGTTTAGGGTAGTTTTATACTAAGGGGTACCTTTATTGGTTTAGGGTGTAGGATTTTGGGGTTTAGG